TTACGAAATAGCTCAGCCATTTATCATGGTTAAATGATAAAATTGGTCAAATGATTAAAATTGTCCAAATTTGAACCCAATATAACGAGCCTTGCAGAAAAAAAAATACCAGGCACACCCATGTCATTGATTAAGAAGCAATAAATCCGTAGTTACTTTACTTATTTATTATTTCTACTTACTTATAATTACTTATTATTTCATAAATATTAAGGTATTTATATTTCAACATTAATATATTTTTTATAAAACTATTGTACACTATGTACTATTACTTTAATAAATGCTCAAAATCATAAAATAATTGTACAAACACAGTATCTAATAGAGTTTTATTTTAATTAACAGAAAATTACTTTCATGGGGGTCGATGGAGATTTCGAAAAATTATGTAGGGGTCGATGATCAAAAGAGTTTGGCAGCCCCTGCCTTACAGACTCATACTGTAAATTTGTAACAAATACATCAGCAGTATACATAAGTAATTTTCTGTACTAACCTCCTTCTACTAAATCAATGATAACTTCTTTTTCACCTAGGGCATTGCTAGCACGACAAATGTATTGTCCTTGTCGATCAGTATGATCCATTACCAACTGTAAACAATGAAAAAAGTATTACAAATTAATCAATTACATTGACTTATGAAATTGTATGCTAAACTACTTTTAGCTTTAAAATAATTAAATTGGTAAAAAATAATTAAACAATGAAAAGATGCTTTTTCTCCCATTTCAATCAGAATCAAATACTTAACATTTGCAAATTCACTTGTTCTTTTACAAAAAAATTATTGAAATGATTAGTGTAATAAGTAAAAAATGGACTGAAATGTTTAACTTTACATAAAAAAAATCTATATTTTAAAAAAGTAATCACTAAAATTATTAAAATGAAGCTATAGCCTTGACACAAAAAATCACACATATAATAGGCACATGACACATATAATAGGATTTTTTCAGAACAGTTTTATTTGGCTGTAAATGAATACAACAAATCTTTAATTTACACTGTCTGAAAATTTAGCACTATAGATTCAAACAATTTTTATAGCCAATCACCTCTTTTTAATCAGTATATAACTAAAGTTAGAGATCAGTTCACAAAGTGATGGACCATCACAATCAATTATAAAGCTTTGATGATGATGATGAATGAACATTTTTAATTAAAAAAAATTATTACTTCATCAGGTCAGTCATTTAGTTAATGATCAAATGATTAATCATCAGATTTACCAGATGATTTCTTCATAAGGTAAAAAGATAACAAAATTTCTTCTTTTTACACAATGAAGAAATTTTGTTATCAAAGCCATATAATATATCACCATGTAAATTACGATTTGTCAGCAAGAAAATTGTGATTGTCACGTTTGAGAAAGCAACATGAACTTGCTTACCTATTGTAAGTGATATAATCATCTCTTATGAAGTGCATTACATATTATGCAGAAAGTATTACTAAATTGGTAAAAAACATAAAAAGTGCATGAAATTACATGGCAGCTATGTTAAAAAAAACATTATCATTATATCAACTATCATATGGAATCAGCTTGTTAAGAAGTAAAAGCAATCGGTGTGCAATGCTTATCACATTGCCACCATCATGTTATTGACCACGAAATGGCTGTTATCCATTACCCTTGGGCTATTGTGGGTGTACTTTTCTTTTTATTTCTTTTCAGATGGAATTTAATTATGAATTCTTGCATTTACATTAATAAAGTTATAACAAATCTTAATGCTTATTCTTATCATTTAAGATTCTTACTTTTTTTTTTAAATTAGGTCTTTTTTAATATTTTATTCCTTATTATAATATTTTTAAAAAATTCCTTCATAGTTGTTATAACTTTCTTGTGGATTTTAGAAGAGTAACTCATATTTTTGCAATTGCTATTAATGATAGTACAGCAGAGTGTATGTTGATAACCATATTTAATACATAATTTTAGAATCCCAGTCAAAAATGAAGCCAAAAATACATACTTAAGCTATTAATTATGTCATTTAAATGCACACACAAAAGTATACAATTAATATTTAAATGAGGAAAACACAAAAACGCTCTTGAAATTCAGCAAGTCAATACTGAAGAAAGGGGGACTGAAAGAATGAAAACCTATCTGAATGGAAAAAAAACTGATAGGGTAGAAAATTGAAGATTTTTTTTTCTTTTTTCACTTAACAACTAAGTTGTCTCTCAAATTTTAGATCCATTGGGAGTGTGTACATTACATTTGGCATTAATGGATAAACAAAAAATTACGATTAGAACTAATGGGTGAAGATTTAGTGTTTTTTAAAAAGAATATTTAAAAAAAGTGAAAGATTGAAGAATAACAGTCTGTGATAAAAAATCGTTAATTAATATAAATTGTTCTTTAAGTAACGCAACTTTTGTAAAAAGAAAATTTCCTTACAAATATAACTCTATTTATTATGTATACTTTGTTAATCAACGAAAAAAATATTTAAAAAAAAAAAAACATCCAAAAATTGTAGGTTTTTTTGAAAAAAAATTTTTTTTCTTTGAAAATTCCCTTAGGGTCCGGGTCTAACTTAGTTGACCTTGCATTAGTGCACCAAGAAGTATCACGTATTTGTCTTAACTCTCTGTGGTTTTACAAATGAGCAAAATGGGGAGAATATGCCTCTCTTTTGCAGTGCTTTTAAATTAAGTTGCAATACAAAGAAGAATAAAGGGCAAAATACAACTTTTTACATGCCTAACCACAAAAAGCATTACATTACTTTATTCTTGAAATATTATCAACAGTAATTTTTAGAATTACTCCCATATGCGAAATTACTAACTGCACATTTTTTTCAGATTCAAAACAATATATATATTGACAATCCCATGACAAATGAAGTTGACAAGCACCAAAACATAACATTTACTTTAAAAAATAAAACTATTTAGACCACTTTGAGAAAATATTTTAACATCAAATTATCAATAACAGAGAATCCCTATAGTTAAAAGAAGTAGAAAAACATTTTCTAGGTAAACACATGAAACATTTTTAATATAATTTTGTATAAGATATTTTTAAAAACTATAGATACCTGTAAAACACTACTGTTATCTGTATCATATATAACAAAATTATCAGTATTGTTATGGATAATCATTTCATCAAACAGCCACTGGAACATTGGAGCAGGTACCGCAGTCACGTTACAAATCAAATTTTTCGTTGCACCTTTGCTAGCATAAGTTGTGATTTTGTGTTGGCCTATGATTTCAGGAATGTCTAAAAGATAGAAATTTATCAGAAAGTTTTAATAAAAATAATCAATAGATCTAATGAGTCAAATGTCACTAACTTTATCAGCATTTAAAAAAACTATAAGTACATAAATTGTCTTTTCCTCCATTTTTTATTGCTCTAAGAATTGAAAGATGTTCAACTTATTGAAGGTACAATGGAGAGTTTTGTAATCATCGCTGCTAATATACATTTTTAAAATCTTTGGCAAAAATCATTAAAAATAGGTACACACTGGGCAAATTAATAATGGAAATTAAGGTCAAAACCAGTTTGTTGCTTGATGAAATTTCAAAATGTTTCTAATTCTTATCCTACATTTCATCTTTGTTTTCACTGGTAACACTAAAGAACGTTTTTTTAAATATATATGTAAGTACTTGATATTACTTAATTCAGATGCGGTAATTTTAAAACTAAAATTAGTTTTATTTGGAAAGCAACAGTTTTTGTTCAAAGTTCCATGGGTAATCTGCAAATTGGTCAAAAACTATTCTCTATATCCCTCCTATCCTGTTAATGATTGCAAGGCAGAACTACGAATAAAGGTGAGAATTTGCTAAAAGTAGCATTTCTTACACCTTTGTCTTTAGATCAAACCACAGATAACTGGTAAGTAAATACTCAGAATTTGCTGCATAATAAATAAGGTGTCCCAAAATTGACTGAGGATTGGAAAAAATCAATTAAAGAAAAATGTAAAAAGATTCAGATGTACAGTTTGCTTTATTCTAAAAAAAATTAAGGATTTCATTTTTACGATTGTTCTCAAATTTATTTCATGAGTTACAAAGTTCACCAGTAAAAAGTTCTGCAATCGGCAGACCTGTATAATATACATTAATGCGCAAACGCCGTTCACGGAAAATTAGTCACCTTCCCGGAAAAATGTTTACTATTACTAAAAAAGAAAAATAATTATAATCTGTCTCTTCAAAGAAAGTTTGCCTTTTTCAATGTACTGATAAAAGAAAATGATTCATTTGTACGCTTTTTAATACCAATGCTAACGCAATTTAAAACTACATTCACATGACTTTAAGTCCCGCATTGCGATTCCTATTTACGTGATTTAAGATCGTGTTTCGCATTTTCACGATTTTGTATCAAATATCGCGTTCCATATTCACGCGATTTAAAAGCAACTATATTATGATTCGTGTTCAAGTGGCTTAAAAATTATACATTAGAATTTATATTTACGTGATTTTTAAATCAAACATCAAGATTTGTATTATAGCGATTTTAAAATCAAACATCGAGATTGATATTCACGCGATTTTTAAAATCAAACATCAAGGTTCATACTATAGCTACTTTAAAATTCAACATCGAAATTCATATTTACGCGGTTTTGAATTTAAATGTAGAAATTCGTATTCACGTTATTTAAAAATCACACTTGAGATTCCTATTCACACAATTAATAAAATCCTGTAATAAATAAAATTTCGCATCAATGTCTTTTTTTTTAAAACGTTTATAACATTCCTACATACACTTTTTTTTCTTGCTTAAATTCAGGTATTTTTTCAATTACTTAAAAAGTGTTTTTGCACTTATCATTTCTGAATTTTCATTTCCAATTGTTTTTGGTTTTTTACCTAACTCATCTTCGTTGTATGAATCAATATAGAATTCGATAAAAAAATTAAAAAAATCATTGATTTTCGAAAGAATTTCGCCAAACGAAAGAATTGAAACTATAGTTAATCAATGCATGCAGAACGTCTCCTAATTGAGAGTTTGTGCTTGCAGAAAGTTTTTCATTTTATCTAACTCTGGCTAATGCAGGAAAACAATATATCAAACCTATTCCAAAATAACTACTATTTTCAGCAACAACTAAACAGAGTCATAGGATCAGTGAATCACTTTCGGAACACCCAGCATTATTACATTTTGAAGAACGTCACTTGTTGTTGTTGTAGTTGTAGTTCATTTACGTCGCACTAGAGCTGCACAATGGACTAATGGCGATGGTCTGGGAAACATCCCTGAGGATGATCCGAAGACATGCCATCACAATTTTGATCCTCTGCAGAGGGGATGGCACCCCCGCTTCGGTAGCCCGACGACCTGCACGCGAAGTCGAGCACTTTACGGTAGAACAGTTTAACGAGGACCAATACCGCACACCCTCGGTCCCTACGCAGACTGATCCAAGTGGTCACCCACCCGCACACTGACCGCAGCCAGTGATGCTTGACTTCGGTGATCTGCTGGGAACCGTGTCTTAACGATCAGTCCACTGCGGGACTGAAGAACGTCAGATGTGGGCATGGTGAAAACAGAAATAAATTTTCGATAAATGCAACAAACACACACATATATAAATTGAAACATATAAATACAAATTGAAAATATACATTGAAACCTGTTAAGATGACCACCTCTGTATATTGATCATCTTAATGATTGTAGCTAACTAAAAATACATTAAAATTCTTTATTTATAAGTTGACCACTTGTTTAATTGAACCATCAAATTGCTGTCCCACAAGTGGTCAACGTGCACAAGTTTCATTGAATGTAATTACTAACTGAAAACACATATAAATACAATTTGAAAAATATACATTGAAACCTGTTAAGTTGACCACCTCTGTATATTAATCACCTAACTTGATCTTCATGATTAAGCAACTATCAGGCAAAAATATTCATAATCTTTCTTTAGAAGTTGGCCACTTCTTTAGTTGGACCATCAAATGTTTGCCCCAGAAGTGGTCAACTTACACAGGTTTCACTGTATACAATAAATTGTAGTAAACGAAATAGTTACATTGAACATGGAGAGTGATGTCAAAGTCTTTCACTTGTGATCCAAGCTGTGTGATGACAAAAGCTTTACATTTATATTCTCCTGCATCACTTCGACTAAGATTGAGAATTTTCAAACTATGATTTTCTTGAACCTTATATTTCTCATCTGAAATAAAAAGGGAAATTAGAAATTGAATATCCTGGCTGCGGCGTAAATATATACATTTAAAAAATAATAATTTTAAAAACATGTTAAAACCATGTTTTTAAACAGAACACATTATTCCAAGGTTAAGCGTTCCTTAAATCTGATTATTATGAACATTTATTTATTCTGTCTAGGTTTTTAAGAATAAATAAACTTTTTATAAATTCAGTCAAATCAATTCAAAATTAGGAAAGATAAACATATTTTAAATAACATTTATTAAATTTAGCAAATCTACCTTAAAATGTATAAAGATAGATAAAATTTATTGTCAAAATGTTTTTGATAGGTAGATAAAATGAATATTCACTAGATTTAAAGAGTAACATATTCTAATATCTGAAAATCTTTCTGTTCAGTAAGAGAAAAGCATGTTCGTTATAAAACTGAAATTTACAAAATAAATAACTGAAAAACAGGAATTTCTGCCAGTTAATATTTATAGCAAAAAAAAATTTTTTTTTAATTAACGTAAATAGGTTACAAGCCTAAAAACTTGAATAGATAAAAATTGTAAATTTTGTAAAAAATAAATTTATTGTTCAAAACTTGCCCATAGATTATTAGTCAATTAGAAGTCAATACTAAAAAAATAATAATAAAGATTGTAATTTTATGGTATTTATTGAATATAATGAATTTAAGTAGGAAACCTGTTCTTGCATTTCATTTCACATTAATTGTTAAATGATAATAAATAGTTGGCAACATTTATTTAATTATACATTTTTAATTTTAATGAAAATATTTCGTTAATTATTATTTTTCTAAATTATTCATTACCTTACTTTAAAATAAATGCTTGTATAAAAGAGCTAGGTCAATAATAACTATTAACACTATTAATAAACACTATACTGTAACGCTGTTATAAACACTGTTTATTATTGTTGTGTTATTAATAACACTAAGAACACAACAATAATAAACACTATTATTTTCATAAAGGCAATAATAAGTTCAACACAAAATTAGAATGAAGTATCTGAACGTTTGTTACGTAGTGAAAATTCGAAAACTTGCATATTACTTGCTTGGAACCTGTATTAAGGAAGAATTTGTCGTACAAACGTCATTGAGAAAATGTTCCTTATCACTATATTGCCTATAAGCCCATCAGAAGCATTTGATTTTTCATTAATATAAATCATTAAGAAGAAGAAAATATGTATTTACATTTTCTATTGAATTTAATAAGAAAAAAAATGCTGTACAGGCTATTAATTTGATGGTAACTTCTCTAAAATCATGACACTTTGTAATAATTCTTTAGTATCATAAGCTTTAATAATTAAAAAATAGCATTTAATAAATGTGTAATTTATTTAAATTGAATGATGAACTAGAACAAAAGCAAATAAAAATTATTGAAGATAAAATAAAAGCTACAATTTAAAACTTTACATTTTAAAAAAAAATAATTTTAATTATTTTGGTTTCATAATTTTATAAAGCAAATAACTTTTTCCTAGACAAATTGCATGCGCAAATTTATTTTAATAGACATAAAAACATTTTGAAATTTAAAAAATTCAAAAACTGTCTTAAAACAATTTCAACCAAAAAATTTACCAAAAAAAAAAAAAAAACACANTATATTCTTCAGACTACTAGTACAACACAGTTTTTAAAATTTTTATTTTATTATAAATTATTTCCTTTCGTTGGATAATGCAAAATTTGCGTGCTATAAAGCAATAAGTAATTATAGAACTATTTTTGAAAATTTAAGTTTATTAAATCAATAAATGATTATTTAGGCAATAAGTTGTAATTTTTTTTCTATTATATACCTGAAAAATCCCTTGTTTTAAAGATCCTTTGTTAGAAATGGTGATTATTAATTCTAGTTTTAAATAAATAGTTTTTACAAACGATCTGAATCACTAAACAGAGTATCATTACTTAAGCTCAGATCTTTCATAAAAGTAAGTAAAAAGTTTTAAGAAACTTTTCAATCTTTCTATTTTTTTTTTTTAAATCACTACACTGAGAAGAAAAAAGTATGGTAAAGATTACCAGAATATGGTAAAAACTATTGTGTTTCTGGTTCTATCGGAACAAGCAAATATCCAAGCAAACACAAAAAATAGGAAAGCTCAGTAATTTTTATCAAATCACTAGGATAATGATTTTGGTAAAATTAACAATTAAATATGATTTTACAATATATGATAAAACTAGCTAAATGGTAATTTTATCATGATACACTGATGCACTGAAATTCAGGATAAATTTCATCATCATGAAAAAATTTGGTATTTAATCACGATACATTAGACCATTAGAGAATGGTATAAAAACTATTTATTCAATTAAATTTATTTTTCAGTTTTGTATACTTTGCTAAATGTGTGGTAAAAAGAACTATAAGTTTGAAATTCAAAATTATCATGTAAACCCTTACCATATGAACAGGAAATTACCAAACGAATAGTTAAATACCATATATTTAAGGTTTTCATTACCAGAAATGTCATTAACAGTACAGTAATTTTAACAGAATTTTTTTTGCGCTGTGTAGTCAAATTCTTGTTAATTTTTTTTTCTCAGGCAATGACCTATTTAATATTGAGCTGATACTTACTTGATACTATTTTCTTCCCTTTGAAATACCAATTCACTACAGGCTTAGGATCTGACCTGACATTGCAAAGTACCAGTCCATTCTCACCCTCCGGGGCATGTTGTTCTCTTGGAGTATCAGTAAAGCTAACTGAGCCTAAAAATAAAATAAAAATAGATAAGAACAAAGTTGGGAATTTCGCTACCACCCAGTGGTTAGTAGTAGCCTTTTTATTATTAAGTCACTTTTAAAAAGATGTGGTCACTTTATCAAAGTTTGAAACTATTGTTATTTATGCCGCTTGCCAATATTAGCAAGCCTGTTTAAAATCAAGCTAATTTTTTTAGGCAGAGGGTGCGTTTCTTGTTTGTNAGTAATTTTACCAGAATTTTTCTTTCGCTGTGTAGTCAAATTCTTGTTAATTTTTTTTTCTCAGGCAATGACCTATTTAATTATTGAGCTGATACTTACTTGATACTATTTTCTTCCCTTTGAAATACCAATTCACTACAGGCTTAGGATCTGACCTGACATTGCAAAGTACCAGTCCATTCTCACCCTCCGGGGCATGTTGTTCTCTTGGAGTATCAGTAAAGCTAACTGAGCCTAAAATAAAACAAATGGATATAGAACAAAATTGGGAAATTTTACTACTGGCCAGTGGTTAGTAGTAACATTTTTTATTAGTAGTCACTTTTAAAAAGATGTGGTCACTTTATAAAAAATTAAAACTATTGTTACTTATGCCACTTGCCAATACCAGCACGCCTGCTTAAAATCAAGCAGTTTTAAGGCAGAGGGCGTGTTTCTTGCGTTTTTTTTGTTTCTTTAGTAGCACCATCTGTGGCCAGGAATATGATTTAAGCGACACACACACACGTCACAACCCGTTTTACAGAGAGGGCCCAATCACACTCCATTCACTCATCATTGCAAATTTGACCCGAACCAGTGAACGATCGATCACCAATTCAGTACCCCCAAAGGTATTGATTTGTTTGGGGAACTTGAAGAACAGAGGGGTTGCGGCAGATTTAACATGCACCGGTAATAAACGCGAATTCTTCCGCCGACGGATTCGAACTCAGATTCTCACGAACACGAGCCCAACGTTCTACCTACCAGGATATCCCGACCCTCTCAGCTGAAAATAACTATTAAAATAACTTTTGATATTATTAATAAAAGTCATTACTTTTGAAGTATTTCTCAAAACATTAATTTGTTTTGAGTTCCTTTCTAAAATGAAAAATTTTCTTAAACTCTCTAAGTAGGTGTAGGTTAAGTATTTTACATAACATTTTCCGCTAGTAAAATTTAGCGTTTATTTACAAATAAAATTTAATCGCGACAAAGTTAATCTGAAATGCAATCATAATGAATAAATCATATTAATTCGATTACTTTTAAATATCATTGGCCATATATTTTTTAATATAAAAAAGCAATAGGAAATTAACTTTAACACGAATGAAAATATTTGATAAGTAAATTCAGTCCCTTTGAAATTTTAAACCTGAAATAAACTGAAAATTCCGTATATTGATAACTTTTCATGCATAAATAAGGAATATGAAAAGTTAGAAGCACGTGTTTTTAACTTTTCCTTGTAATAAATACGTAATATAAAAAGATAAAAGCACGCATTTTAATTTTTAGTGATGGCGAGTAACTAACAAATTTTTAACGCCATTTTTTATATTTGGTCAACCAGTGGCTGGACGGAGGCGATCGTTAATTTTGCCTCACACAAATACATATAATAAATGCTTGTGCTAAAGCATACACTAACATTATAAAAATTTTATTAAACATAAAACACGTGTTAAAGCATGCTAGTAAAAAATGCATGCTAGTTGCGTTAAATAAAATTTTAAAAATTTACAAGTAAAAATAAATTATGATTTTGGCTAAGAAAAGCAAATTTAAACTTTTTTGAAATTTTATTATTGAATTGATTTTAAGCATTGAAAGTTTTTAAAATAACAAAAAAAATTTTATTGGATTAAGAAAGCATATTTTATTCACATTTTTAAGTTTATATGATTCTTTATGATTCTTAATTTATAAGTTATTTGAGTAACAAAATAAATTTATGTATAATTGTGCAATTATTAATTAACCCACTTTATTACTTATGGCAGGAAAGGTAAAACAGATATACCGTTTTTTATGACCTTTTAGCATCAATATTTTTACTGTTTTGTTCGTTTGTGTGTTAGCAGTCAGAAAGTTAAAGATGTACCGGGATTTCGAATGGCTAATTTAAATTGATTTGTTCAGGCCTATAAAACTATATTTTACAAAACTTATATAACTTACTAAAAACAACCTTACGTTCAATATTGAAAATTTCATACATGTTAATTATTATTTCAACACACTATTCATTCTTTATTGTTTATTTAATAACTGAAGTGCAATAAAAAATAGATTATACTTCTCAGATTGCCAGAGAGTTAGTGACTTTTTTTTTTCGCAAATATAAATTTAGACATAAAATTCAATTGTAATGTAAAATAATCAATAAAAACAACGATTTTTTATGAGTAGTATTGGATTTTTAGTGAGTAACAAAACCATTAAAAACGATATGTTTCGTTTTTTCTTTTTTTATATGGCACTAGTGAAGCAAATAACTGGCGCCAGCCCGGAAGCCCCGGGCTCATTAAGGCAACTAACCAAAGTAGGTAATAAGAGCCACAAATATCGATCATACTATTTCACGTGTGTGAAGCTTAGAATCTGCAAGGTTCCCATGGGAACCAATGGCTGAAAGAAAGTCAGTAATGCTAAATTCTGGAAAATCAAATGAAATTTTTAGAGCATCGCAATATTTAAAGACAGATGATGCTCTTATTGTCTATGTGGAATTTCTTTTAATTATGTGGTTATAAACTTTCTGATTACTTGAATTTTTTTTTTTAAAGAGTAAAAAACAATAAAGAAAAAATACGTTATTACAATAAAAATCGTTTGAAAAAAAATTAAGGTGATTTTCCAAACGATTCCGATGAAATTTCACGTCAATTCTTTATGGATATTAAAATTATTTTTTTTTTCTTCCGATTTTTTAATATCTCCTTCAAGTTTAAAAAAAAAATAACAATAATAGTGTCATTGTTAAAATAAAAATGTTTGAGAAGAATAAGAATAATTACACAAAATAAAGTAGTAATTTTTCTTCTATAGTTATTGCTTGCGAATAATTTTAATTCAGTAAAGTATTTTTTTGTGTCAGCTTATTTCAATTTTAAAAAAAAAATAGCGAATTTTTACTGTCAAAAAAATTAAAAGAAATTCTTACAAAGGAAAATATAACTGTAAAAAAGTATCAAAAGATACAGAAAAAAATTAAGAGGCAGTAAAAAATAAAAGAAAAAAGTACTTCCAAAACGCTAACGATTAAAAAATAAAAAGTAAAATACCTTCAGAAATTGGCTCGAAAATGTTTGATGTTGAAAGGGAAAGGACTTCTAGAGCAGAAAAAAACAGCAGAAATTCTTCTGAAAAACATACTATAAGAAATAACGAACGATTTAAAGAACACCATTAATATTTCCCATAAGGTTTCGACAGGTTAAAATCCCGATTAAAAAATTGAAAAAGAAAGGAAAAAAATCTCTATTTTAGAATCGATGGAAATAACCTGAAGTACGAAATTATGTATTTTTTATCATTGTGGTTTTTAAGTAAAATTAACTTGTTTTCATTATGTTTTAAAACAAAGATTACGGAAATTGTCTCATAAATTAATTTAGTTACACTAAAATAGTAGTTTATATATCGTAAAAGAGATGCATTTTTCAATCATTATTTATTAACGAAAATGAATAAGAAACTATTATGAAGTGTTGTCATAAAGCAACAAATTTTATTTATTTTTTAAATATAAAATCGATAAAACGTTTAAAACTTAATCATAAAACTTTTTAATAAAAATGCTTCTTCTTATTCAAAACTTTCCAGATATAAAAGGGATTTTATTTCCACTATATAAACTCGTAGAAAATTATAGAAAGACATTTTCTTTATTTACCAAGTAACTTATTAATATTTTTGTTCCATTTTATTAAATAAAATATGTTCTAGAGAAAATTTTAGGTTGTTAGTTAGTGTTTTAAAACTTGTTTTCAAAGCTTTTTGTAATAACTTAAATTTTTTTTTTTAAAGTATGATTTTCTTCAACAACTCTAAAATTTAAAATTTATTAACTCAATTAATTAAAACACATTTCACTACAAAAAAAAAATACTAAAAAACATTTTTTAATTACTTAATAGAAGAAATTGCTTTAATATAATTTTCCATAGGTAATCAAGGATGTAGAATCCCCAACCCCTCTTTTTTTTTTTTTGTCTGAAAGGGGCTCTTTAATCTTTTGACTCAGAGACACCGGTATCCCTTTATTATATTTTTTTTCTGTCGCTCTAATTACAGGTAAAAATATATTGTGGTATTTCTTAATTTAAAAAAAAGGTCTACTAATTATATTAATATAAAAATATAAAATCAAAAAAGTAGTTACAAAAAAATTTTTTTTATTCATATTCAAAAATTTATCAGTAACTGATTTTGTAAATTAAAGACACATAAATGTTGAATAAATGTTTCTCTTATGTTTAAATAACTGCAAATAAATGCAAATTTGAAAAATTATTGTTTGGAAGATTTTACCTTTAACCCAGAAAAAGACACCGGTGTTTCATGTTCTATTTCATAAACATAAATTATTAAAATGCTAATTACAACATTTTAAACTTATTTTGACCTAAATTCATACAAAATAATGAAAAAAAGCATAAAAAATATGTTTTACAAAATTCTGCGTCGAAGGGTTAACATTTGGTTATAGCTGTTTTCAAACATAGCAAAACATTTTCCTGACTTTACCTAAATCATGATGACTCTTTCTTTCATACTTTTAACTAGTAGAAAACAAACTGATATTACGCATATCGTCCGAAAACTGGCTTTTGCAGGAATATTTTACTCTTAAGCCCCGATATTTAAATTCCGATTGAGCAAAAATACTAAAAATAAGTAAATGCATTACTTTTTGTTTAAATAATAGAAGAAAAAATCAAATAAGTAAAGAATCTCATCAAATTTGGTGCATAATTCAAAATAGCCATTTCTTTTTACTCCGAAGCAAGATAAATTAAAAAGGGAAAAGTTGATAGCAAACGACTTTCCTTATTTTTGAACTCTCCATAACAGTTGGAGAATATATTTTCTCAGGCAATTGTGCTCTTTCTCCAAGACAAAATAATAATAATGAAAAAAAAAAAGCTATTAGTTTCGGTCTGTTGAGCATCACTTACACAGAACGACCGTTTATTTGAGTTGAAATAACAGTTATAATCCGTTAGGATAAATCCTTTTTTCTTCATAATTTAAGCAAAAGAAAATGTTTTATGTTACCTAACACAAGGATTTATTCTCAATAAAAATTGCTATTCCTTTTTATGTGAGGAATATTTTGTTGTAACATTTCGGCAAAGAATGATGTCATTTTATAAAAATGCAATTTTTTTCTCGATTATCTGAGGATTGGAAATGAACACTGGTGAAAGGATGTTTGAAAATGTATAAATAAATCACGA